TTCGAAGAACTTTGCGATGACGCCTGGTGCCTCTTTAACCAAGACCTTTTCCTCCTTTGCCACGACCAGCCAGCCAATTGTTACTTGTTGGATGAACAAGAGTTGACTAGCCACCATATTCCTACTGCTGCTATTGCTGACCACCACGCCGTCTGAAGCGAAAATGAGTTGATGCCAGACAGCAGCGCTGTTTTATATATTTTCAGGTTAAAGCAGAATGATGTGCAACCAAGTAGTATAAAAGCTACAAAGACTCCTCCCATCATGAGTAGTTTGCTATCAAGTAGCGACACTGGCTCCTTTCCTTTTGCGTAGTTTGCCAATGGCAACACCTTGAAAGTGATTACCTCTCACCCCAGCAAGCCTGGATTCAATTTCAGTCGGCGCCACCGGCATGTTCTAAGGCATAACATCTCTGATCTTCGGGAAGTAAATCCGTTGGTCCCCGGTTGAGTTGCTGGATCGATAGGTAGGGTCCATGTGTGGGAGCTGCCTCCCTGGCGTCGGTAGCATTGGTGCTCAGCACGTAAAACAAATCTCGCGTCACTTTTCAAAAGGTTCTATCCACATAAATCGATACTCCTCATCGACTCTCTTTCGTAAATAACTCGGCTTCAAAAATGGCTGCCTTCGTCGAATTAGATGCTAGATTGTTGCTTCTTCCATCGAAAATATCCAGTCGTGGCGATTCAAAGGAAAAGTTGATGAAGAGAATCGATCAAAGCCATTTGTCCAAGTAAGGTTACATGAGCATTTTGTGTGGTCGTTGGGGGCGTGTGGTTCTGAATATGGACAAACAGGCAGATGAATTCTATTCCTACTCTTTACTATAATAAGCATGGTGGCCCTGGCGTTTTGTTGCCAAAGTTGGCGATGATTTAACCTCCGAAACCGTACAGAGTGCGTCTCTGTCGCTTCAAATCGTGGATGACATCCATGGCCGCTTACGCTTGGCGTGTTTAGTGTTGGTGACATCATCACGGATCTCATTTTCCAGGAACACCTTCAGCACACCTCGTAGATCAGACCGAAGTTACGTTTGACAAAGCCATGGAGAGCCTGACGACGGATGGTGGTTACCTCGAAGAACATTGCGATAACGCTTGGCACCTTTTCCTCCTTTGCCATGACCAGTCACTTGTTGCTTTTTGGATGTGGAAGAGGTGGACTAGCCACCTACTTCCTACTGCTGCTATTACTGACCACCACGCCGTCCGAAGCGAAAATGAGCTGTTGCCATACAGCAGCGCTGTTTTATATCTTTTCAGGATAAAGCAGAATGATGTGCAACCAAGTGGTACTCGATTATGAGGACTGGGTTTGGGCAGAACGTTTAACAGTGTTAAAATTTTCATTTTTTTTTGTACATTGGACAATGCTTGACATTACCACTTTTTTCAATAGCTTCTCGTTCTCATCACTCGGAAGCATTGCTATAGATGCGTGGAAATATTTCTGATTGATTGGTGATACAATTATTGAAATTGGTCCAGGAGCAACTGAGTTATTAATTTTCAAAATCTTTCATAATTTTGTTTCATGCTTCATTTTTGGTTTTGGCAAAGTGTACCCCCAGTATAGAAATGAAAGACGTAGTCCTACGTCAAAACGATGAAAGCTACAAACTAGCCCCCAACAGACATTGAAAGTAGAATAATAGGTTATTCAGTTAAAAATATGCGTCTCCAGCTAAAAAATGGCTTATTCAGCATTTAATCAGCTACAATTGTTCGGTGGGCCTTGAATCAATTCAAATGGTATAGGTTTCTAGTTGACTTATAAAAAAGCTTCAAGCGGTTATAATCTTATTAAGTTACAACCATAAATGCAAATGTTTATTTTTATCGCATTGTTCCTCGCTAGAGAGGAACAGTGACACAAAGAGTCTGGAACATCGAGACACATGTTTTAATATGGTTCACCACATTTCGGGGTTTTAAAGCATTCTACAAGCCTAATTCATGGTCTATAGAACCTTCATAAAACCAAATTTGTTCATGGTCTATAGAACCTATAGACCAATTTCCAGGTTAGGGTTGTCCAAAAAAAATTGATTTTTTCCATATATGGTTTTTTTTTTCAAAGATTCATCACTTTGAACCACTAGGATGATTTCAAACTTGCTTAATTTTGAAAAAAGATTGCTACATTTCTTATAGGCCACCGTCCAGTTTGATTCATAACCCCAAACTGTGAGCCTGTGAAAAAAAATTAATTAATTGATGAAAGTTTATAGGTCACACAAATGGATTGAAATTTGTTTGGGAACCACCATGTCTGTTGTTATTACGATCAGTTTTATATCAAATAAAGACAGATATAAATACGAAAATTATCACACAATAGAGTTGATTGACAGCTGAAATTATGCAAGACAACAGCACCAATTTCATCACAACAAGTCACAAGTAAAACTCATTTATTTCCCATAGTAATTCACCGAAATCTCCATACAAACATCAATCCCTTGGTGCGACCTCCAAACATTCATCAATCTTTACCTGGGACGGTACTTGACAATCGAGCTTCTCACTCTACTTGATGTTTTTGAAGAATGCCCTTCGGAAAGTTGTGCGTGGTATTTGACTGAGTTGGCCAATGATGCCAGGAATGTAAAATATTTTTTCTATTTTAATTTAGATTTTTTACCGCAGTTTAGCAGCTTGTACATCAGTTTTACTCAACACAATAAAAACAACAATATCCATTGCTTAAAACACGCAGTGCACTCAATTTTTTTTTTCAATTTTCCTATCGCAAATAGAAACAATTAACAACGCCATTGACGTCAACATTTTTTCCGGCATTACTGCCAGCCAGATTGATACGATCCCTATGTCCTTTTTATTCCACGATTGCTACTGTCAAATCGACCAATCATAAACTGGCTCGGATTTGACAACAAATTGGCTCGAAATCGCTACCGGATTGTGAAGCCCCGTCCCAGATATTTACCATTTTTGCAAAGGCTCATATTATCGAACTAGAGGGTACCCTATGAGAAATTTATCACTTTTTTTTCTAAATGAAGCACCTTAATGGGTACATTCAAATAAGCGTGCATATTGAAGCTGTTCGATACGCAAATAAATGTAAATAAATACGGAAGATACTAAAACACGATTGGCGTTGACGAGTATGTTGATTTTGCTTGCGGCTTTACCTAAGAAAACGAAGGCGGCAAGGTTTTTTTTTTCACAGACACGTGAATGAAAAACACCATTGGAGTATAGATAGTCTCTTGGATCATCCCTACCCATCAACGCCAACTGTCTCTGTAACACAAGAAAAGGGCCTATCATTTCTGATTGATTCTCTTAATCGTCTTACTCTTTTGTTAATATCATAATTTGCCCTCTGCTAATTTCCATCTGACGTACACAATTTTTACACTGCTCTACCCAAACGGAACTATTTATTCTGTAATTTAAGGTTATACTCTAAGGAAGCCTTAGCGTGAAACTTCAAAGGCACAAATGTCAGCTTCCACAAAACATACAAATTTGAAATTGCTACTCTCTGCTTGTAGTAGCACAGCACTTTCTCTTAATCACCTTGAATCTGATATAGACTTAAAAAAAAGTATCTCCTTCAACATTGTAAGCGTTAACTTTACGCATGGATTTAAATTTAGTGCAGCTTGTGTCATACAATCAGATAAAAATTAATGATGAAATGGTGGTATTTAATTTAATCAATAATTACATCAACATCGACAATATGAAAATCGCGAAAAACAGAATCGAGTGTACTCATATTCAACAAAACGCGACTAAGTCCACAATCTAAATAAAAGCGGCTGTTATTAGATATTAGTTTCAGCTACGTACAGTGAGGAAAACTTTAATATTTTGACTTTCAAAATTGCAAAGTGTCATAAGAAAAAGGATCCACCCCCAAATCCATACTAACGTTCCATAAAGGCAACAGTGTAGAAACAACTAAAGAGCCTAAATTTATAAAGAGGCGATATGTCAAAATTGGAACAATCGATTGTCTGTCAAAGTCATAGGAAAAGTCATTCCAATCGAGCAGAAGACCTGTCAAATGGATAAGATGTCGTCTCTTTATAAATTCAGGCTCTTTAGAAACAACGTGTAAACAAAACCAGATAAATCCTGTCCAAAGAGGCACGCGTCGTCTCCACGTGCTCCACCCGTGGAGTCCAACCCTTTGTAAACAGACGCGAATGTTAATTGCACACTTTGCAGCGCCGATCAATAAAAATCAATAGCTACACACATCTTACGAAATCAGTTTCGCCAGACAGTTTCCTGGAAAGCGACTCACCCCTTTTGCATTATTCAAAACTTCTGTCCAGTTGAAAAATATTCCTGTCCAGCGGCACACATTGTGCTTCCAGGAACCCGAGGCGCCCTTTGGATATTTACGTAAACCGCACTCTTCCAGCCTTCAGTGTGAAAATCCGGGTGGTTCCCCCCTCATGCACAGGAAAAAGCAACCATCCCGAGAATGACATTCGTATCTACCTCTACAATGGTTATGGCATGTTTTGAAGCGAGGAAAGGGTTGCGCAATTTGATGATGCAGCCATTACGTATTGCCATCCACCTATCACCACCTACTGGCTGGATGAATCAGCTGAATTGCACAATGGATCCATTTCCCCCCCCCAGTCACTTCAAATTGGTGACAATCTAAAAATAAACACATCCCAGTGCCTGTCATCATCCAGTGTCCATGTGGTTGAATGGAGGCGAGGGTGCTGAATTTGCCTTCGATAGACAAATGTAGTGCTTTTGGGATGGACAGGAGGATGGATGACCGACCATCCTTTTTGGACCTGAAAAGCGAGAGGTCGTGATTGAATTACATATTTTCGCAAACATCAGCACCTTTTGTGTGAATTCATGATATGGACCAGTGGAAATCTGCTGAATCATGAAGCCTTCCGAGTGCTAGAAGATGTTTTCGAAACACTGGTCAAGTTATCATTCTAATAGGTGTTCATTTCTGTTTTTACCCTCCTTTCCTTGCAGATACGAACGGTTGCTGCGTCGAGCAAAGACAGAGGACCTCACGGAAGTGTCCGGCATCGGATGTCTCTATCAGAGCGGAGTGGATCGACTCGGGCGGCCGGTGGTCGTATTCTGTGGCAAATGGTTCCCCGCACAAAATATCGATCTGGAAAAGGTACGTACTCACGTTGTTTTAGAATTTAAACCATGAACTCCGTGCTCACAGTCTCCGCTGGTCCATTTTAGGCCCTGCTCTATCTGATATACCTGCTGGATCCCATCGTTAAGGGTGACTACGTGATCGCCTATTTCCACACCCTCACCAGCTCCAACAACTACCCGTCGCTGCAGTGGCTGAAGGACGTCTACAGCATATTGCCGTACAAGTAAGTTCTGTTTTACATTTTGCTAAGGGACAACTAACCAGGGCCATATTTTCGTTTATTGAGGCCCAAACATTCCAGTCATTAATTTGCATAAGCTTCAACCCAAACTTCTTAATAATTACACTCAAAATAATCTTCACTCCTCCGGTAAAATGTGTATCGGCAAATTGGCAATCTATTGATACCGAATCAATATTTAAAGTATGCAATTTCAAATAGTACCAATAGATTTGAAATTTTCAAACATTGCAAGTTTACCGTTACACATTTTACAGGAGGCGGGTTTTAATGTAATGTTTTTTCAAAGCAATTCTGAACAGCTTTTAGAATGGGTTCTAGAGATACTGCTGATGCTCGCATAATTGTCCCATCTTGATTTCCTATTCATATGGGACAGTAATGCTTTTATGGGCAGGATACACTCCCGATCAAACGTTTGGGGTCATGCAACAATTGTTGTTCATATCCCTGTCATTTTACATCCAATTGTAAATCTTTAATGGTAATTTGAAAGGTATTGAATGAAATTTATTTCGCAGGTAGGGTAGAGAACTACTTCGGCCTAATCGCTCATTTTGGGCCCATCGAACAGAAAACTTCAAATAAATCCTTGATTTCAGAGTCAATTGTGCGTTTGGTACGATACTTTAGCTAATAGGCTACGGAAGAAAGTCAATGAGAACGCGTGATATGAAGGTTTGCACCCATTATTCCCAAAAACAAAAGAAGCGCTCCGACCGAATCAATTTTTATCTTCATCCGATAGGTCGAAGTGAATTCATTGGCGTTTCAATGGCGTTTCAATGGTGTTTCAATGCGTTAGGCCGAGTATAGAATCCGTAGGCCGAGTTTGGCGTCAAGAAGCAGTGTTAGACTTTTGACAATATCTCAACGATTGATTTCTCTTTATCAAATCTTACGGTACATACGGAAAGGTAAATAAATTTGGAAGCCATCAGTAATAATAACATTCCGTTTGGTGCTAAGCTGAGCTAGATTAAGAAAAAATAAGTGCGATTTGTGCTAAATAGGCCGGAAATGGGGTAGTTAACCCTATTTTTCTAAATTTCAAATTTTCAAATTTTGCATTCTAAAACATTACCGTAAATTACAACATTTTCCAAAGCTCACATTGTATAATCATGCCTGATTTTCTCAGAATTGGGTCTGCCAAATTTTGAAATGAAAGTGGTAGTAGAACCTTTATTATTTACCCATCCAGGAACCTTAGTGATAATTTGGTGGATAAATTTAGAGAATATTTTAAATTAATAACATAACATCGATCAAAAGAGTGGGGTCACCCACGAAAAATAAATCTGAGCAGAATTTCAAGCCAACCTTGAATAGGATTCAAAAGAAATTTTAATGCAAATTCATAATAGTTTTCGACGTTAATTCTTAAGGAATTATAAAAAAACTTGAACGAGATGGAGGATTATACTATGATAAATCTGACGAGAACTCCGAGGTAACTGGGAGAAAAGGAATCCGGAGCATATTTTCATGGGAATTTTCGGAAAAATCATTGAGGGTTAGCGGTGTCACTGGTGTAGTAGTAAGCGTGACTGCCTCTCCTTCGGAAGGGAAGTAAAGCCGTTGGTCCCCGGTTTATGAGTTGATGGGTCGATGGGTCGGGTTCAGGTGTCCAGGAGTTGTTTCCCTGGCGTCGGTAGCATTGGTGCTCAGTACGGAAAACAGATCGACGGAAAACAAATCAAGGAAAAAAATCTCATAGAGGGTATGTTAAAGAGGATTACAATTAAATCTCAGTTTAATTCGCATATAACCTTAAATGGATTCGGTCACAAATTCCTGTAGGGTTCTGACAAATTTTAAAGAGAAATCTAAGGAATTTGTTTCGAGAACTGCAAGCAATTTCTTAGGTGAGAATTTCATAACTGGGAGTTTTTTTCCCTTGATTTGTTTTCCGTCTATCTTGTTTTCCATGCTACCGACGCAAGGAAGGCAGCTTCCACACCTGGACCCTACCTATCGACCCATCAGCTCATGAACCGGGGACCAACGGCTTGATCAGAGATTTTATGCCTCAGAACATCCTGGTGGCGCCGACTGGGATTGAACCCAGGCCTGCTGGGGTGAGAGGTAATCACGCTTGCCACTACACCACCGGCGCCGATGTAACTGGGAGTTGAATTCTAAGGGAAGAAGCAGCATTAAAAGATAAATCAGAAATACATTCAATGAAAATTCTGAGAATAATACCAAAGGATTTATTAGGAATATTCAAAAAAAATATGAGGAAACTTTCAATGAGATTTGTGTGTGTGTGTATTTAGTCTAAGCCCGACTGGCCGGCAGTGGTATTATGGAAGAAAACTATCTGCAATTTCTCGTTTGCGGTAATTGCAGATAACTTTAGTCCGGGAGTCAGAAGGTGATCACCGCCGCTGTTGATTGCTTCCTTTGGAATCTCTTTGAACTTTTTCTCTCTAACGCTTCGTAGTTCTCCAGTCAGAATCACTGTTAGTCTCTCGAAAGTCTCTCATGTTATTTCTGATGTGTGGCACGACATTTCGATGTAAGTCCATTATCTGCGGGAAATAGACAATGCCCATCTCCGGGTATTTTCTTAACGAGCATCACTTCATTGTCGTATCGCATGTGCTCCATTTTGCTGCTCTCCTTTCACTTTTGCTTTGTTGACTCCATATGGTACCGGAAAATATATAAATAGGGGAAATGGATGTAATTTCAACCTAAATGTAAGCGACTAAATTTTCGATAGTGACCAAAAATATCCATTAGTACCGATCCAATGACTCGTTCATCTAGATAAAATTGATGAATAGCAGATTTTAAGCGATGGGCCCAATCTTAGAACCATAGGCCAACATTAGAGCCATTTCCTCTATATACATTATTAGCAATGCAGTGATATTACCACAACGTTATGGCCGTTCAGAACGGTTCAATGGATGTGAATTGAGGGAACCAGTGTTGGAAAAATATCAAAAAATCAAATCTCACCAAAGAACAAGATCATGCTTGATTTCAAGTTGCAAGTTGTGATATTGCAGCTCGGAATATCAAGCTTACAAAACTCACTTTAATCTTTAAGAATTCAAATAGTGTTTTAAAGAAGGTCTTCATAAGTATTATAGAGAAATTTATAACGGAATACCTAAGAGACATAATTTTTTTTTTCAAAATATGCTACAGAAATTCTGCAGATTTCCAATGCTATCAAGATCATTTCAAAATTTATATTTTTTGAAATCCTGGACATAAAGAAAAAAAAATAAATGAAGATAAATTAAATTCTGAGCGCTTGATTTTTTTTATAGAAGTTTAATTTTAAATAGAATATACACAAGGCTGGTAGTAGGTCACTTTTTAGTGTCTTGGTCGTTAATTTCAAGTCAGTCAAATCAGAGGTGTTGAGTACCTGGCACTGATGTAGTCTGGAAGTAGTAGACGAAATACGCATATCTGTCAAAATATAAGCAATTATAACGGAATTAAAAGGAAATAAATCAACACACTCATAAAGCTCTTTATGAAGGGATTTCGTTAAGAGGTTCGACAAAATTAAAAGATTGAACAAAAAGTAGCTAAAGTCACTATTTCTTTGGTGGAAATCAGTTCGAAAAATTCAACTACATACAAACTCATACTTGCGAGTGTATGTGTGTTTAAGAGACACTACTGTAATTACCCAATTTTACGTGGATTCCAGCGCACATTGAAAATTGGGAATACCATTAACAAAAACCTAAAACACCTACCTTGGTATACCGCTCACATGATTCTAAGTTGTAACTTTTTTCGATAAAAAAACTGCCCATTTCAACTGAGGCGTGCCATCATTTTATTTTGGGGCCGCCAACGCACACCTTCTCACTACACTACACTAGCACACTCCAAAAAAGCAATGTTTTGGTTCATTGCTCATTTTTTTTTATGTTTCACAACACTTTCCGTGCTTGTACATGGCTTCACGTTGTAAGTCTATGACTCAACTATTAATAAAACGTTAAGAAATCCGCGACGACGAGCACAAAATCGCGAAAACTTCACCAAACGAAGTTTGCAAAATTTTGGAAACGTCGATCGCTTCCCCCCGGCGCCTTACTAGCACTTTCCTGTTGTTTAATTTTCTATGCATTGGTCTGGCAGTCAGGCTTGTTGTTTCTTTTACTCTCGCACTCTTAAAATGCAAAATGTTTTACGTCATAATCATTGCCAAACAACAGTGAGAAAGGGACAAAAAAAACACATGACCAGTCCTGTTTTGTTGGCACAGTCTCAGAGTGTGTGTGTGTTTATTTTCAGTAGGGCTGATTCACAAGGTTGCTAGAATCATTTCACCGAATTCAAAATAAAACATCATTCTCAAATGAATGTTGCGTGAGGATTGCGTTACAATTGAAAGAAATGTTGATTGCGATAGCTTATTACGCGTCATAATGCATTTCTACTTCGTAAATGATAATTTCGAGTACTAACAGAAATTATGACTCAATACTAAACTTGCTTTTGGCAGCACTACCAGCTGACTAATGTATGTAAAAATTATGCTCAATTCGTGCGTAACTTCTTCGTGTTCTGAGCGCAGTTTTTGAATCAGAGATATAAATGCCGCATTTAACGAAGGCAAAAAAGGCGACTTTAAAACGCGAAGCTTTAGAGTGTAAAAACAGGAATCCAGTATGTGAAAGCGTGGTGATGTATAGTCCAGAACCGGAACCGGAAAGCGATGAGGAGTTTGAAGAGATCTTGATCTTTCTTTCTGAATCAGATTCAGCATATTTGGTCAATAGTGAGGGCAGTGAATTTGAGTGTTTTTTAAAGTTTAAAGATGCAAATGTCGAGGAAGGATAAAAAACTTCCGAATAAACTTTATCGACGGATAAGATGCAATCTCAGTGATTTTGAAATAAAGAGTAAATATTATCTGAAAATCACATATTGAACAAGCTTATACACAAAAAAATGCCATTATTCTCTGTTCTTTAATCAAACATATAAATATCGTC